TTTGTTACTTCACGCTGTTACACCGTGACAAGGCAGTATAATTGTAGCTTAGCCAAATGCTCACTCACATATTATTAACCCGTTAACTTTGGTGGCCATGAAAGCAATACGATATCACCTGCGATGAAAGTGGGTGTAGAAAAAAGAAGATGCATACCTTTTCCAAGGGTATTAGTGTGAAATGAAGAGAATCAACTTCAGCTGAAGGTCTTTAAGTCCCACAAAACATAATAATGGAAAGTAAATTAAGGCTGACAAAAAGTCAAATCAGAACAAAATAAATAAGCAAATATGAATTAAGATTTCTACAAAATAAATTAAACATTTCCATTTCTTGCCATACGACACACAAGTGCGTCTTCTGATATATTGTGTAAGAACATATGCGTCCATTCAACACGCTTCTTTGAAACAATAATATTCAAATCATCCACAGAGTTATTATCTGTAAATATTTAGCATAGCGTACAGATGCGTTAAATAGAAAATCAGTGTTGAGGAAACACAATGTCATTCATTAGAGTTGAATTTAATTTTATATCTCAACTTTTTGTATCATTTCACCTCAATCAAAGTAATAAAGCCACTAAGACGCAAAGGGATTTTGAGCGTCAAAGAATATGAGAAAAATAAAACATTATTTCGGAAAGAGGACAATAAAAGAACAAGAATTAAGAAGAGAGACGATAAATTTTTGAAGATCAAATTTGTCTTAAAAACAAGAAGCCGGAAGAGAGTACCACAAAGTGTTAGAAAATTTTAGCAAAGAATTTACGGTTATATCTAGTCATTTCAACTGTAAAAATGATGAGACTAATGTAGTATTGCATTGAAATTCATAATGTCTAGATATCAAAGAGAAAAGTAATATTTATTTTGTAAAATACAAAAATGTGGTTCAAGGCCAGAAGGATTAATGGGGAAGGCTGGTCATATTCTGTTTTATACTTAAACTTAACTAGCCATAATTACTGATCCACTATATTCATTACGCCAAAACATACATTCTTACTTCAATTCTCTATTCGTCCTTGCATGGAATATTGCTGTCATATATGGTCTGGAGCCCCTGCTATATGTCTCGACGTCCTCGACAAAATCCAGAGACGAATACGCAATGTAATAGGTCCTGATCTGGTATCTCGTCTACAGTCACTTTCTCACAGACGTGCCATGGCTTCCCTCTGTCTCTTCTACATGTATTTTCACGGCAACTGTTCTGACGAGCTACTTTAGCTGTTTGCCAGGCTGCATGAATTTAAGCGAGCTACTAGGCTGGCATCTCGGTCCCAACCTTTCACTGTCGAAACGGTTAAATGTAATCGTCTCTTCAACTCAAACAGTTTCTTCTCTCGCACTTCCCCGTCTATGGAAATCCCTTCCTCATGCTCACTTCTCTTATAACTGTAATCTTTATTCAAATGTAATATCTTCTGATATTTTGACCTTATTCCCCGTCCTTCTCTGTATTCTTTCCTCAAACACGCCTCATTACTCTTGTTCTAAATCCTCTGTAACTCCTTGTATGCTAGTGGCACTCCTGCCTTACTTGGGGTGAATTGTTTAAAAAGAAAAGAAGTCCTACCTAGTTCCCATATGTAAAATTTAAAGATGAAAGTTTATCAAAACAATTACGATGAAAATATTTAACGAAAAGGCCTAGGGAAGCTATATTACGGCGTTGTGAAAGTGACTAGAGCCGAGATGCAAGGTCAGGGCCAATAACATTGCAGTTTCTTCATTTTATTTTATCAAGTCAACATAGCATAAGTCTGTTTTATATAATACTGCCTCATGTTGACACGAAGCAAAACATAGATGATATTATGTAATGGTTCCAATATTCAAAGTAGCAATGAATTATTTAATAATAAATGTTTTAGAAGCTAATATTTCAAAAATAGAAAATGAAGTTTAGTGATTTATTTTGAAAACTAGTGTACTCATGCCGTCAAAAATTACGGTAACTGGTAGAATGTTTTAATAATGAGATACAATGAAACAAATATTTTAAAATAATGTATTGAGATTCAATAAAGCGTAGATAAAGAATTCAAAACTAAAATCGAGTCCAATGAACCGTTTAATTAATCCGCTCCCTTTATATTTTTAAGCTTTCAGTGGTTTCTATGATTCATTAATTACTCCTGGTATTATATAAATCGATTTTTGCTCATTATCTTTTCATGTTAAAAATTCTATGCGTTTAATATGAAAATGAAATGGAAATATCTCTAAGAAGAAAAAGATTAGCAACAGAACGACAAAGATGGTGACGAATAAAAGTATTCCAATACCAAGTTGGAGGAAGACAATCATTTAAGAGACAAAGGTATCTGAGTGTCTCACAAGAAAGGCTTGAACAAATAAGACTCCAACCTAAGAAATGCGGGAGTAAATGAACTGATTAATTAAACGGTACATTTTGCTCAGAAAATAATTTGTCTAAATGCTAATAAATATTTTACTTGTATAGATTACTGAAGCAACTAAGTGAGCTAGCCACTCGTAAATGATTAATACACCCACAAACCGATGAGACAAGAAATATACAAATAAATATACATCGATAATTATTATGTGGTTTGGTAATTAATCATAAACAATCAATTTCAGGGAAAGGTTTTAGTGAAATATCACCACTTATTTACTTTTAAATTTTCTAATTTTCTTAATTAAGCTGCTGCAAAATAGATGTTATTACTTTTAAATGTAGAAATAATTTTTTCGTACATTTGAATGCGTTCATTATTCTCTTCATACTGCTAACACAACGCATTAATTTATCCATTTTTCAGCCTTTATCAGGTTTATAATCCGTAAGAAATGAGGAAATAAATCATAGCCATCAAAAAAAATGACATGCAAATGGTGGCTCCAATATCTGTTCATTTCAATAGAATCAATTTAAATTCATTTTAAAATAGAGAAAAACACTTTTCTTATTGGTAATATTACATTTAGTCTATTAGAATGAAATTAAAAGTATAATAAATGTTTTAAGAAAGATTTTTTCATTTTTTAATATTCATTTGAATCCTTAAGTATCGCTTTTCTTTGGAGGTACGTACAACCCCTTGTGTTTTTGTCCATAATAATACCATACCCTCTCTTCGTCCAAATGTGTGTGTGTGTGTGTATATGTGTGTGTGTGTGTATGTGTGTGTGTGTGTGTGTGTGTGTGTGTGTGTGTGTGTGTGTGTGTGTGTGTGCAAAATGTATGCTTTTCGTAGTTTAATGATATCATCAGGAAGATCATTCCAGCATAGTTCTATCTCCGTTGAGCCATAGCGAAAACTCGCAAATGCTCAGATCAACACTATACTGAGATTATGAAACTAACAAACTCAATTTTTTCCGTCTAATCCATACATTTTAATTGAGAAAGCTTCCCACCCTTTAAACTCGTTTTACTGTTAAAGAAGCCAAGTACAGTTCATTTGAAAGGTACTGATCGTTCACAGTTTTAAACTGAGCAGAATTCCTAACCAGCTTTGCTCTCATAAATGGAACAAAAAGGCAAAGTTCTGTCAAAAACATTAACCCAGTTTTGCAAGGTATGATGTATGTAGAGACAAATTCAAGATCTAATCAGTCTTAAATTGTTTCAGCGTTACCATTTCTACATGTTTAATTCATCTGACGATTAGTGCAAACTTATTCATTTACACCTGTCGAAACTGATATGAAATTAAACATATTACACGCAGAACTAAGTTCTCGTTGCTTAATGTGGTTTCTTTTTGTGTTTGATTAGCGGAAGACAATTATTCACACTTGATATTTGATCGGCCAATTTCGACTGTTAATAACGGATTTAATTAGAAATTTACTTTTAGGCTAAAAGTTAAATTCACGTAAGGTGAGTGAGCTGAGTTGTGTGCGTGCCACGTATAATGTCAGCTTAAATTGGCAGCCACTGACGCGCCGGGAACTATTTTGTTTTGCCACAACTTGTTAAATATTTGCTTTTAATTGCATGGTATGGGCTCGTGCGATTCGCCAATGTGTGCTGACGTTCATAACACGCACAGATGTTACTAAGTACCCATTTTGTTAAAATCTTAGTCAACAAATGCGTCGATGATAGGTAAGGATAACTGGACTTGTATCAAATTACGAAGATTCTAGCGAAAAGGAGATCATTTGACGCAATAAACACATCAAGCTGGTTATGCTTGCTTTCTATGCGTTGTACTTCAGGTCAGCACGTAGTATAATTACTATCATGATTTAGTTTCGCGGGCACATATTTAGAAAAGGACTCCACGTCTGTTGCCGTGATTGGCGAGGGCCGCTTGAAACAGGCAAGTCCTTTCGTGGAGGCTGTTGAAGAATGTCCGACAACTGAGGGGTAGTTCTGTTACTACAGTGTTACCTCTTTGCGAATTCAAACCGAATAAAGTCCTCAGTGACCTTTGTAAGGTGGAGTTCAGTCTTACCGCCCATTAAACCAATGGTTTATTTGCTCAGTATATGGCAATTAAGTTCCAAGTGACGTAAGTTTTTTGTTGGGGTTTCTTTCAACTTAGACGGTCACGTGTGTTTCAGAGAATTGCCGACCATGAAAGAAGTATCCCAAAATAAGGAAAACTGAGAAAGATCGTAGGCACTACTCCCAGATTTTGCTGCAAACTGCAATTTGTGTGCGACGCGAAGATTTTTTAGAAAGTTCTCGGTTACACTTATATCCTGACCAGAAGATCAAACCTCAGAATTCCATTTGAAGGACTACCTAGTTCTAGTTGACAACATTTTAATAGTATCATATAAGGTTTGATTGATTCGTTTTCAATAGCTTATCAACATTTTGCAGTTTATTTAAAGCTAATAAATATTTACTGTAACAATTCTTTTTAGAGATAATGATTTACGGATAAAAGTCTTACTAATTAACCCATAGATGGGAGGAGAAGAGGTAAATTATTTACGCGTAAGTGAATATAACGAGCCCAACTGAAATTGGAATATTGTTCATTATACTACCCGCATATTCAAGTTTACAGCATCTGGTATTCCCAAGCGGTCACCCATCTAGGTACTGGCCAAGCACAATGTTACTTAACTTTGGTGATCGCACGGGAACCGTTGCTGCAATGCTATATGTCTGTAAGACTCATGTAAGGTTTGAAGTTCCTATATATTCTGCTTAGCTTTGTCTTAACTCTTACTTGCTTTAGACATGATTATATACTTAGCACGAACAAAGGGCATATTTTTTCATGAACATTTTTAATGAAACCTATTCTGCTATATCGTGACAATATATTAACGTTGTGCCAGAGTCTGATATTTGACAGGAATAAAACTAAGTTATTATTTTCAGCGATTCAAATTAGGAGGGTATAGAAAACCTTAGATATTGAAGAATTGATAGATGTGATGAACGTATATAATATACTTTGAGCGGTGATTTTGAAATCGGTTCAATCAGAATTGATTCTATTACTACTACCATGGATACTACATTTCTTGGACCCACCAAGTCAAACCTTTACGACTAAGACACGCTATTACGTAGATTCCTTGTTAGATGAAGTTTTCTACAATTTTTACAGATCAAATATTATAAAAAAAATAGTAAGAAGACTATTTTTATTTTTATACAATTAATGTCATCATCATATATCGAACACATTATTGGTAAACTACAAGCAACATATATTTCAAATGTACTTTTAACAATCGTCCGCTTTTTAACGCTAATTATGGCAACTACTAATCAATGCTTACGGTCATACCCCGTTGATTACACCAGTTCCCGTTCTAGCACTAAAGTTTAGCAGCATTGAGGATGAACAGTACATAGAAGGGGTGCAGCTTGAGCATACCAAATACTGTAAGCTTACTCTGATAGATGAAGCTCGTTACCTGGGAGAGGAGTCGATCTAAGAGAAGGACAACTCTAATTTCAGTCCTCTGCTGTCTTGGGAAATACTTTGGAAGGAAACCATGTGAATCAAATCAGTGCTGTTCCGTTTACATAATATTAGACCCCAAACAGGAATGTATGGCTGTGATGATAGTGCGATCTGAATAATTGCTGGTCATCTCAAACTCTCCTTGCAAATGTTCGCGCTAAGACAGTAAGGCTTGGTGTTATGCTTTTCGTCCCACCTCAACAACTTTATCTCGTCTCCTGCGAAGAATTCTCTATTTTACCTTCCTTGCCAGGAAACGATATCACATGCCTAACGTGTGAAAAATACTGTAACGCAGAATTTGGTCTGAAACTCGTATGAGAAATCATCAACGAGTATTGGTTTTCTTTATTTTGTTTTACGGCATATCAACCTTATATTTTTATTTAATGCCGACAAGATTTTTAGGATAGGTTCGTATGAATAGAATCTGTATTATTTGTAAATAATCAGTTTGTAGATCAGGTTTCGTTGACATATTTTTGTAAAGAGGTTTTTCTGTCGATGGTCAGATATATTGTTGGTAATTTTTCTTCAAATATGTATTGCCGGTAATTTTTTTTCAAAAATGTATTGCTAGTATTTTTACTATAAAAATATATTTTCATAGTGTTTTGACCCTAGTTTTTAGATTAACTGGGACCCTAAGAGGTGCTACCACTCCAGGTCATGGGGCTGGGACCTGGGAACAGCAGAAATTATAGGGTAGTTCCACGCTCCTCAAAACCTCCTGACTTTGCTGCCAGATGTAGTTTATCGTCATACCCAAGATGAAAGAACGCGTATGAAAAACTGACATGAGGAAATGGAAACATCTTAGTTGATAACACCTTGAACTATCTACTATTGAGATCTAATAAAATTAGCTTCGAAAAACACAAAACAAACAGTGGAAATAAACATTGTACCAAACTTTTAAATAGAGAGATTCAGTTTTCAAAAATCTTGCCTTTACCTAATATTGAACACTGACCTTTGACCTTACAGTTATCTCAGCTACAAAGTAGTTTCATATATTAATACATTTACTACAATCAATAATTATAGTTATTACCATCGTAATTATTTATACTACTATTACTAGTTCTAACCATCGTTGGTACATAATTTCTGTTTTGAATAAGACTTCAATAAAGGCAGTAGAGTAGCTACCACTTTAGAAAAGTTAGCTTTATATAATTTTAAGCAAACTGTACATTGGTAAAGGAGTCGCTGCCATATTATGGACCTAGATGCTGAAAGGAAAGAAAGCGAAGAATTGGAAAAGGAAAGAATTCCGCCAGGCAAATGTCGATAATATTTGTCGCATGTTAAACTGCTGCACAATCTATTACGTTTGTGCAAAGTTTTCCAGCTAAAAACTCGTACACACACACACACACACACACACACATATATATATATATATATATATATATATATATATATTATCAGCGAGAAGATTTCAGAAAGATGCAGGCATTTTACATACACTGAATACGATCGAGACAAAGGGAGATAACTTAGGAGGTCTGCGTGTTTGAATGCAATTAAAATTCCATGAAGAACTCTAAATGCTAAATTTCCAACAGGATTAGATAAACACACTTGAAAAATTGGCGCAAAACAATCATCCTACCTTCATTTCATATTGCATCCTACAAAATTAAGTTTCCTTGCAAGAAAATCGACCATTTGACGTTTTTACCATAACACCAATTATCAATATTGTTACAATTACGACCTTGATTAAGGTATTTAAATCCATGATTGGCACGATGCACTTTTACTTTTGAAATGCATCCAAATTCTGCTCTTTAAAATTCTGTAAATTTTTAGTAACTATAATCCCTTATTTTTCTTATAGAGATTTTAATAAGGCTTTAATATATTTAATATCTTTTTTCTTTTCTGTAGTATAATTAATGTTTCAATTCCTTTACTGTCGAAATCATATGATCTTGTTTAATAAATATTAATCTGCCAAAGATTCTTCAGGTTACAGTACCAGTCGTTATTAAACGAACACTAAATTACTGATCAGGTCGATCAAAGTTTATAAAAATTAAGATAAAGATCTGCTGCTAATTGTAGGCTTATAGAAATCTGATATTAATTTATAATCCAATAGAAATATTTTAAATATAATACAAATATACAACCAAATATAATAACATATCCACATAGACAAATAAATAGATCAACATATACATAGATATAGAGGGTGTGAGTGGTAAATTGTTTTCATTTTATATTTTTAATTTCGCACATGCGCGTTGGTTGTTTTTGATGTTGTCGGCTGCACAGTATTGTAGGATCATTTGGGCACCGTCTGTGAGAAAAAGGGCAACATGATGCTATTGACTCCGCAAGAAATTTGGAAACGTCATGCTGTACTGCTTGGCATTCGAGCCGGAAGCACCAATACGAAAATTTCATAGTGCTTGAGTGTCAATCTGAGAACAGTGTAGGAGATTCGGAAAGCGTTGGATGAGACTAATGGTGATTACGAAGGTGTTTGAAGCCTAAATCAAGTACCTCGAGGAGGCAGTTTTGCTCTGTATCAAAAGGGTAGCTGATGTAAGACTCTGTGTCTTACAACGGGACTCTGCACCAGGCCACACAAGCAAGAGAACTGGCTGTCAGACAATTTCTGTGACTACATTACCGCTTACATCTGGCCACCTAACTCTCCAGACTGCAACCCCTTCATTATAATGTGTGGTGCGCAGTTGAGCGAGAGACCAACAAAACTCCTTGTAAAACCAACGATGAACCGAAGGCAAGGATTATGGCAGCATTTATCATCTTAAACAAGGAGACCGTCCACAAGAGTTGCAAGAGATCCTGAAATTGTCTGGTGGACGTGGTTGAAACCAATGGTTATTTTATTGAATGAATTTAGTCTTTAGTATTTCAAGATAGTTTTGAGTAATTTTTTAAGTTTATTTTTAAAATGAGATGTCAGTATTATTTTCATTTTTGAGTCATTTACACAATTTATTTTTCGCACCCTGTATAAATATGTACATACAAAGCGTTCATAATATCTATCTACATATTAACATGTTCGCTATAGTATTTCTTCAAAAATGTAAATACTTGTACATTCATATACATCTATAAAAAAAATTGAGAAACACCATGGCAGAAAAGGTGGCGTAACAATACTTATTCATTCTATTTTAACATATGTTCAGAGTAAAATTTAAATTTAACATGTGTTTGCAACATTTACTTGCATAATATAGTTATTTATATGTATTGATATCATTATGACATGACCCTTAATAATGCTGTTGTTCCTATACATGCCTGTTATAGAGCAGCAAATTCGTTTTGCAAACTATTGTCTATAAATAGAATTATGTTCAATGAAACAATTCAGATTTTGATTTCGATGTATTCGATAATGGTTAAGAATGTATAGCGCCTTCTATTCACGAGTGACTAACTTCATTTTATTAATTTGAATATTCGCCCAATAAAAAGCTCGAAGGTCACTGTTAAAATGACAATGATAAATGAGGTGAGTGATGTGAATTAAATAATTGTTTGTAGTAAGTGACGATTATGATTCCAACACCTCAGAATTGGAAATAAGATATCAACACATACGAGTCTATATTTAAGTGCAGAGTTATTTTCTCAAATGAAGAGAACTGATTTTTTTTAGTTTTGTACCTACGCAGTTTTTTGTAAATAAAGACCTAAAAGTAGTTGCTTCATTACAATCATATAATTAACACAATAATATAGACTTTTATAATTTAAGAATAAAAATTTACTTAACTGAACCCATACGCTTCCGTTCACATACCTCAGTCTTCTCTAAATTGCAATTTTTTTTTTCTCATAGTTGAGGTTAACGGTCTGTCTTCTCAGGTTTAACATCCGCTGAACACTAAAGACCGAACCTCCTTAAGTAAAACGGTCAAATGGACTCAGAATTGAAAATACGATATCAACACATCAGTTAGTTAGGTGCCATAAGTAATACACGCTTGGGTAATCATGTATCTTTTTGATACTTGACTGAAGAGGCAAATTTTTCTCGCAGTAGGTTGCCATTTCTTTCTGAGGTAGACTGGTTGCCAACAAAGGCTAATGAACCCAGTGTGCCCTGCTTATTCAAGCCATAGGTGTTGGGGAATAGATGAATTCATACCTTTTCCAAGAGTATTTTTGCTGAAGCGAATC